CCCCAAATTAAGGGGGTGTCCCCAATTTAGTGACCCCCCCCAAATTTAAGGGACACCTGCCCCAGGTGACCCCAATTTAAGGGGGAGTCCCCAAGCCCAAAATTCCTGCCAGGGACACTGGACATTGTCCCCAAATGTGTCCCCAAGGTGTCCCCAAGCCCAGAGCTCCCTGACATCCCTGACAAGGACACTGGACATTGTCCCCAGATGTGTCCCCAAGCCATGGACATTCCCAGTATTTCCCCTAGGACTGGAGACAATGTCCCCAAATGTGTCCCCAGGGTGTCCCCAAGCCCAGAGCTCCCTGATGTCCCTGCCAGCGCCCCAGGACAGTGTCCCAGCAGTGTCCCCAGGGTGTCCCCAAGCTCAAAACTCCCTGATGTCACTGCCAGGATCCCAGAGCAGTGTCCCCAGGGCAGTGTCCTTGAGATGTCCCTGAGATGTCCCCGAGGTGTCCCCAAGCCCGGAGCTCCCTGATGTCCCTGCCAGCGCCCCAGGACAGTGTCCCAGCAGTGTCCCCAGGGTGTCCCCAAGCTCAAAACTCCCTGATGTCCCTGCCAGCACCCTAGGGCAGTGTCCCAGCAGTGTCCCCAGGTGTCACCAAGCTCAAAACTCCCTGATGTCCCTGCCAGCACCCCGGGGCAGTGTCCTCAGTGTGTCCCCAGTGTATCTCCAAGCTCAGGGGTCCCTGATGTCCCTGTCAGCACCCCGGGACAGTGTCCCAGCAGTGTCCCCAGTGTGTCACCAAGCCCAGGGGTCCCTGATGTCCCTGCCAGCACCCTAGGGCAGTGTCCCGGCAGTGTCCCCAGGTGTCACCAAGCTCAAAACTCCCTGATGTCCCTGCCAGGACCCCAGGGCGGTGTCCCCAGTGTCCCCAGGGCGGTGTCCCCAGGTGTCCCCAGTGTCCCCAGGTGTCCCCAGGGCAGTGTCCCCAGTGTCCCCAGTGTCCCCAGGGCAGTGTCCCCAGGGCGGTGTCCCCAGGTGTCCCCAGTGTCCCCAGGGCGGTGTCCCCAGGTGTCCCCAAGGCAGTGTCCCCAGGGCAGTGTCCCCAGGGCGGTGTCCCCAGTGTCCCTCACCTGCCCCGGGCCCCCCCGGCGGCTGGCTGCCCAGGTTGCCCAGCAGGTGTTTGATCTTGTCCGAGTAGTCCGGCTGCTTGAGCAGCTCCTCGGCCTTGTGGCTGCTGGGGCCGCCCTGCGGGGGCATGGCAGAGAATGAGCAAAGGGGGGAACGGGAGGCAACGGGAAAAGAGGGGAAAATCGGGAGAAAATGGGAAAAGAGGGGAAAAACAGGGGGGAGAAAATGGGAAAAGAGGGGAAAAACGGGGGAGAAATGGGAAAAAGGGGAAAAATGGGGAAAAAATGGGAAAAGAGGGGAAAAATGGGGAAAAAAGGGGAAAAAACGGGGGAGAAACGGGGGAGAAAATGAGAAAAAAAGGGAAAAAATGGGAAAAAAGGGAAAAAACGGGGGAGAAAATGAGAAAAAAGGAGAAAAACGGGGGAGAAAATGGGAAAAAAGGGAAAAAACGGGGGAGAAAATGAGAAAAAAGGAGAAAAACGGGGGAGAAAATGGGAAAAAAGGGAAAAAACGGGGGAGAAAATGAGAAAAAAAGGAAAAAATGGGGAAAAAATGAGAAAAAAAGGAGAAAAATGGGGGAGAAAATGGGAAAAAAGGGGAAAAAC